GGTCAGATGAGATCGATGGAGAGAAAATGTAAGAAACTAGATGCATGTTTGCATATCGAAATAAAAAATTAGACTAGAAACGGGAGAGCGAGGATTAGAATGGAATTGTTCTGGTGAAGTGAATTCTACGAGTCTGAGAAACGTGGAATGAAGGACGATTATGAATATTCTAGGAAAAAGTTAATCGGATTTCTTCGATGGAAAAAGAGTGTAAGAAACGGGATGCGTATTTGCATGTTGAAATAAAAAGTTAGATTGGAAACGGCAGAGTGAGGATTAAAATGGAATTGTTCGGGCGAAGTGGGGAATGGGAATAAACGACGATTAGAAATATTCTAAAGTAAGCTTAGTTAGGTTTGATCGATGGAGAAAAATAAATGTGAGAAATTAGGATAGAATGTGTTTGCATGTTGAGGTAAAATATCAAATTGGAGACGATATTACAGACTTGTCCAACCTGCGGCCCCGCGGGCAGCGTGTTGCCCTCAAGAGCTGTAACATTGCCCCGCGGGCAGCATGCTGCCCAGGGGAGCTAGTAATTCATTTCTGCAAGATTTCTAAACTTTTAACATTGTTACGTGACTTTTAGCGATATTTTTCAAGACTCGACCACGCTATAATAAAAAATTAAGTAAATTTTGTTACTTATACACATTAACACATTGACTGCCACGGTGGTCATCGGTGACCGGAGTACTTCAAATGTTCATAATTGTAAAAGTTGAATGAAAATTGACAGTTGATGAATTTTGAACATCATCGCTGATTAGAGGATAGACGATTCAAAATTTGTACTAGAAGATCAAAAATGAGAGATTAAGTTTTATCAAATCTTCTATCTACCGGTGTACTGTATTAAAGCATTTCAAACATAGATGCGGCTGATCGATACAATCTGAGCAATATGTGGTAACCTTTTTAGTCCGACTTTTAGCAATCTTTGTTCCAAAACTTTTTTTTTCTTTGTCAAAATAAACGAAGATCTATTTACTACGTTGCTATGATACCGTTTGAGGTATACACCACATCGCACAAGCGTCATAAATAGCCACAACGTAAATAAATATTCCAAAATAGTTAACAAGTGTCATCGAGTGCACCACGGCGCCACGGTGGTCACCCGTGATAAACGCCCCATGGGTAAGAATGTTGTCCTATATAACCATATTTATCATTATTTCGCCATTATACGCTTAGAATAATAAAAATACTTTCGTGGCGTCCTGAGCAAAACATGTGATTTCGGCGTGGCAGTCAACGCGTTAACTAACATCTAATATATTTTGTATGCGGCCCAATTAGATTCTTCTTCGGTGAATGTTGAAAAATTTCAACAGCCATGCGATAGAGCGAGTATTAAAATGCAATTCCACAGGTTAAGTGAATTCTGTAATCTGCATAACGTGGAACGATCGACGATTAGAAGTATTCCAGGCTAAAGTTAATCAGATCTGATCAATGGAGAAACTGGGATAAGACGCGTGTTTGCATGTTGCGATAAAAGGTGGAAAACAGGAAATTTATACCGGAGCGAACAGTTTTAACGTACGAATGAGCGTTTAACGTAAGACGTATGACGGATACTGGTTCTAAACCTGAAGAACACGATTGTACGTATGTAAAGAGGTTTTATCTTCTATTTCAGATAGAAAATGGCGAAAGACCTGAACGCTTCCTTGATAAATGTTCCTCGTACGATCTTTTCGTTTTCTATTCGGAATACGTATCACTGAAAACATCTTCGCGCTCGTTCTCCGATAAGATCCCAGTGCGTAACTGGAACTGGTTATAATCTAGATATAAAGTATAAAATTATAACGTAATACCGATGAATTTTACCTGCATGTAAAAGGCCTCTCCCCTCGTGATGACGAAGCTACTGGCTCTGTCGTCGGTTTGCAGGGCAAATAGACTGGCTGCTACGATCGCCAAGGATGCTGTAAAGCAAAAGTATTCAAATTTCACATGTTGAATCTTACAAATTCGAGTGAGCTCGCCTCGGTCTGGCGGATTATAGTCATAAAACTCATTGGCCGCCAGACCGAGGTGCCGAACCTCACTTCGACCGATTAGACCTCCCTTGGTCTACCCTGCGCCGCGCGAACATCCATTGTTCACACCCGCGGTAGTTTCTTCTAGCAATAAACCGGTACCGCTTTCGGGGCTGACAATTTTACATAAACAAATTCGGTCCCCCGGAAAAACCCACGGGCATCCCCTTCTCCGAAGAAACGCGCTGCGGGCGCAAGGAGAGGGTTGTCGCCACCATTTAGGCCAGAGCTGCTTAACTTCTTGCTCACGAGCAAATTTCCCCTCCCGAGGTTCCGCCCCTATGCGACTGAGGTGATCTCGCTCGAGTTGCGGCGCGACGAGAAGGAGTCCTTCCACCACAACTCCAGCGACTGCCTTTTGTTTATGTTACACATTCTGCGTGTTCGTACCAAAAAGCTATCGCTGGAGTGTAATGGGAGGACCCCTCGCGTCCTGAACTCCAGCGAGATCATCACAGTCGCACAGTGGGGGAACCTCGGGAGGGGAAATTTGCTCGTGAGCAAGAAGTTAAGCAGCTCTGATTTAGGCACCCTGTTTGGTGGATGTCCGTTTCGAAAAATCCTATAAAGAGCGAGCTCACCCTCGCCCACGATCGCAGTTCACAAGAAGAGTTCAAAAGGAATCGGTCAAACATCAGTTCGAAATCACCAACCATTTTCATACTCGTTCAGTCGAGCGTAAACATCGCAATAAAGATCTACGAACATCAGAACAAAATCGTAAAACGTCGAACCAGCCAACTGGAGAAAAGGGAAGCACGAGATTCAGATCGCCGCCCTTATCCGGTACATCACACTCTGCATAAGAAAAACGTTGTCTCATGTATCGTACTTTCTGTACTGATCAAGTTTTGCAAATTTCATATAAATTGGAGAATATTTGAAAAAAGAAAATGAGGAAAAATGAAGAAGGTAGATCTAATTTTAGATAATTTGTAATTTTATTCATAGTTGGTTCTTTTTTCTCAAGGAGAAAAATTGTAAGACCAGAAATTCATTCATCGAATGCGGTCGACTGATCTATGAGTTTAACGCGTATCGCTTTACAGCAACAAGATCCACCGCAGATATTCGATTCTTCGTCTAAGGGTAAGTAGGCCAGTAAGTAGACAAGTGACTAGTAATCCTACCGTGATCGGCCTATTGCAAAACTTTCAGACTGTCCTGATGCAAAAGGACTTCTCCGCCTGGATTACGCCTCAGAATTCTCACGTGTTCCGCGCCATTGTAATTTCCGTTAGAAATTGCGACATATATACAGGGTGAACCATGTATAGTTGGGGCCACGATATAGCGAGGTCGTAAATTAAACTCTCAAGAATCGGCACCGATTGATGTTGCGGCACTGAAGACCGTATGTTGCAGTCTGTTTGAGGGTTTCAACAATAAACGAATGGTAGCATATGATTTGGTACTTCAAGTAGAAAATGGTATTTCATTTACAAATGGAAAATATGTTAATATTAAGCTACACAATCTTTTTGCACTTTCTATCTGTATATAACACGAGTAGATAAACTAAGATGCTAAAGACATCAATAAGACCTTTACCTGTAACCGTACTTCCAAAAGCGGCTTCCCCCAGAGGGAGAAACCCTAATTTGTCCTAGCTGCATACAGTTTTCAGTAAGTATATTAGAATCAGTTGACTTTCGCTGGATACAAGAATTCTTCGTACGGTCCTGACAATGGTTTCAAGTACTTATCTGCTCGTATCTCTGTCAATTTTCGGGTCCCGGCAGCTAAAACATGTTTACTTTGACGTCTGACCGATTTTACGACCTCGCTATATCGTGGCCCCAACTTTCCGTTTCCACCACTTTCTCCACTTCTATCTTTATCTATCGCTACTCCTGTCTCCCTGTCCTAACAACAGAAAAACCCAGTACGTCTACACCTCCGGACAGTTTTTCCTTTACCGACCATCGCGACGTACCCGCCGAACCGCTGCCGTCGGGACAAGTAACAAAGTAAACGATTGTATATTCTGGACAAATTGCACGCCTATACGACCATACACTTATACTTTAATAAATTGAGGTGAAAACAGGGTAACGACGTTCCTCACCCACCTCAATGGCTTCAAAGGGTGAATAAGATGGAAGAAAAATTCTTTTATAAATACCATTTTTTCTATTCTTTTTCTTTAAAGTCACCTATGGTTTTTAACTGAACGAAGGTGTGGTGTTGTATCGGTCCACGAACACGGGACTTGGATCACGACGAATGGAACGTCTTATACCGAGAAACTAATAATAAATTGAGGTGAAAACAGGGTAACGACGTTCCTCACCCACCTCAATGGCTTCAAAGGGTGAATAAGATGGAAGAAAAATTCTTTTATAAATACCATTTTTTCTATTCTTTTTCTTTAAAGTCACCTATGGTTTTTAACTGAACGAAGGTGTGGTGTCGTATCGGTCCACGAACACGGGACTTGGATCACGACGAATGGAACATCTTATACCGAGAAACTAACGAGAATCCGGAGTACAACTTTTATTTAATTTATTGGTAAGGTACAAGTCTCGGCTTGTGATTCTACTACAGACTCGGCTCATCGTTTTTTGAGTGCATCGTTTGGTATTTGCAGGAAGACTGCTTGAAAAATTGGAGGAGTACAGAAAATGAGAGTTGGTGTAGGTGAAGTTAAAATCTGGGGGTGGAATATTGGAACGATAGAAATTCGGTGATTGGTCTTAGGATATTTGCAAGAGGATAGGGTAAAAGTGGGGATGGAAGGTCGAGGTGGCTAGAGTTTTGGAAAATCCCAGAAGGAGAGGAAATCGAACGTCGGAGAAGGAAAAGACTAGGTTGCTAATTAGAGAATAGGTATAATGGGTGGTAAAAAATGCTGCTGTTCGGTACAATAATAACGGTCCCGTTAATCCTCTGCGTTGAGGCTCGGTCAGGGCCGTTCTATGATTTTTTTGGGAACCGTTGTTCCGTTGTTTTTTCTGCTGTAAATATGCATAATGCGACCTTAAAATTACCTTGAATTCGAAAATTTGAAATCAAATGCGAAACTTTCGTTTTTTGCCATTTTTTTCTATCGAACAAATTTTTCTTCCATCTTATTCGCTCGTTTAAATTAAGTATAAAAATTTCCTTGTACCACCGTAACTAGAGAACATAATTTAAGTGATTCACTCTGTACATACACTACCACCCAAAAGTCTGGAATCGCCTGACAATTTATAACAATATTGAATCTGTTACTAATTCCTTATAAATTTGAAATTGATGTCGTGGAGTTCAATAGCAATTTTGCCTCGTTTCGATTGATTTGCACGATAAAAAAATGAATTGAAAAATTCTTAAAATTGTCAACATTTTGCTAAAATTTTTCGTACAACTTTCAGTGCACAACGATTCGAAATTTTTGACGAACAGTATGTATAGACACCGCAGCAACATTTAACCCTTTAAACTTCATTTCCGCGTAAATTGCTCCACGCAGCCTCCAATCAATTCGAACCCAGCTGACCCACGTTCATATTTTACCGCAGCGATTCATAACCCTTCGATAAAAATTCTCCACATCCTACCAATTTCACCAACGCTTCCCTCTTTTTGTTTCACTTATCCACATTCGTCGCGGACAGCTCGCAGTTTAATATCCCATCTCGTTACTCCTCGAATAATAATCATCTCTCTCGACCAGTTTCACAATTATCAATTATTCGCAAAAAGAGAAGAAAAGAACCAGCGGAACAGGTTCCTCGTAACGACTCGCACGCGTATAAAGTAATCTCTCCAGGTTGCAAACACGATTATCGCCACTTAGCAGCCGCGGCGAATCTCTCGACTTAATCCCGATTAAACGTGGTTAATCGCGGAGGAGGAGAACAGATTCCTCGATCAACCGGTCACTTTTAGTTAGCCTGAATAGCTCGGCGAATTCTTGGAGATACTCACTTGCCAGAGTGGCGAGGGCCACTTTCCCTATCAGAGCGGTGCTGTACGAGATGATAACTCGTTTCGCCGAGGAGGCCATCGCGAGCTGCAGCACGGCGAGTCCGACGAGGACCGCCAAAAGGGCAGAAGCTGTCGCTGCGGCTAATCCTGCCACCCACACGGCCACTGTACAGAAAAACAGAGGGGAAAAATTTATGTCACGCGTGGTTCGTTCATTCGAGCAAAATTGATTCACTCGGTTGGAAGAATGTTTATGGGGGTAAAGGCCGTTTCTAGGTTCCGGGAATGGGTGGTTGTTGTTGGATTATTAGGAGAAATGAGCGTGTGTCTGTGTAATAGTAACAATTAGTGTCAGCCGTCTTAAGAAGGACTCAGAGTACCCAGCTTATACCTCTATCAGGTCAGTTTCTACTCTCTATCGAAACCACCAACCAATGAGCGAGGACGCCCGACCATGCTTGAACCCCAACTTGGCGGTAAGGATTTTTGCTCTTGGACTTTTTCAATTTCTAGACGTTAGTAAGGATGGAACTAAAGTCTGTGTGAAATTTCAGCCCGAAAAAAGCATGTTGTGGAGCGGTCACCCATCTTCTTACGATCGCCGAGAGGATTTTAATTAAAGCTACGTGAAATGTAAGTACGTAGTGGTATTTAAAAGGACGTTGATTGAAACAGCGAAACTAAGTAGCGACATTTAAAATGAACTCACACACTGGCTGAAACCTGGAAACCCCTTATATTCCGGTGAAATACCGCGCGGTATTACCGAACGTAGTATAAATTTCAATTATCCCGGTGAAATATATCGTAACAAAGTTAATATAACAGTAAGTACGCGCGACGTGAGCAGAAATATAGTTCACAATTAGACACCGAGGCAAATTAAACGATGAAAAATGTACGTTGCGGATTTTTTGGTGGACGAGAGAAGAAATTTCTATTTAACAAAATTATGGGGTGACTTTGATAATTTTGAGAAAAATGATCTATGAAGTGTATACTGCAATCAGACTAGGATCTTCTACATTAAGGTATTTAAAAAAAAGAATTTGCATTGATTCGATAGTAATTGAAGTGATTAAGTTAGGTTGTCTAATTTGTATAGTAAAAATTGGACCATAATTGTGGAGGTTGTGACGCGAAACACATATCAGACGACCTAATGTAGGTAATATCTTCTACTTGTAGCGCACTGCGTAAGGGAGGTAGTACACCGAGCGGCCACCAGACTGGCGCCCTCATCCCCTTGCCTCGCTTGCACCCCCACTACCAATCCCACCCTTGTGCGCCTGCGCAATTGACTCCCCCACTCCACCACTCGCGCTGGCCCGGGCCCCCCCCCCGCAAGGATAAAAAGGGGACTGACCCATAGTTTCATGGGCAACACGGTTCACTGCTCCAAAGACGCTCCCTTGGGTGGACATATACGGACCAGCAACCCTTTGTTTTCCGTTCCCTGAACACCGTGTCAAGACGTTTCCGCGAACGACTCTTGTACTCGCGTTAGTGTGAGAACTAATTAAATATAACTCTCCGAAAGTGTACGTGTGTAAGGATCAATTAAACGTATCACTCTGCAAAGTGTAAGCTAGTGGAAATTATTTTCGGTCAGCCCGCAACTCCCCGTAGCCAACCCAGTTACATACTTAATAATTCATCTTTCAATCACAACCTAACCAAACCCAAAGAAAGCAACGGAGAATAGAAAAAAATTCGCAAATTCCCAGCTTCCAGCTCCCATCAACCGAGATCTGGTTAGATCTCGAAGTCGGTGAAGTGTTACGATGGCGCACCGTGTTTCAAAACAGCCGCCTGACCGCGAGAAACTATTATACATAATTAACCCTTTCACGACGGCGGAACTAGTCATCAGTACGCCACTAACGAACGGGTCGTCGTGCCATTAGTGCACACCATAGGCATTAAGAGTGTCTCGCGTTTTTTCAAATCTTAGAGGATTTCGTTGGAACAGCAGAGGACTTAAGGGTGTATCGGATAAAGGGAATGTCGTTGAGGCCTTGTTCTGTATTTTCAAATAAATCTTCACTTTGAGTTGTCGAGGCGCGAGCCAATGCGACGCGCTTAGAGGATGCCGGATATAACCGGCGCCAGCCAGTGCGAAGCATTTAACGGATGCCGGATATAACCGGCGCTAGTCGCGAAAGGGTTAATAAAATAAATTCGAGCTATCCGAATTTTAAGTATAGCCAATGAAATTCGAAATATTGAAAATTTGAACGGAGCCAATGACAGTGAAGTAAGCACCATTTTAATTCAGCCAATCAAATTCAAATTGCTAGAGTTTGAAAACTGACCAATGAAAAATGACCAAAGAATAGAAAAATTGAATTCAACCAATGCCACTAAAGTAAGCACCATTCGAATTAAACCAATCAAATTTGAGATACTCGAATTTGAAGTTTAGCCAATGAAATACGAAATTTTGAAAATCTGAACTAAGCCAATGCCACTAAAGTAAATACCATTTGAATTCACCCAATCAAATTCAAACCATCCAAAATTTACATTCAGCCAATGAAATTCAAATTTAAATATTCAAATTCTTAAATTCAAACTGTCCGACTTTATATAACTAATTTCCTATTTCGACTATTTCGAATTTACAAAGAACCTTCAACAATCTACACACTCTCAAGACACGAAATACAGTTTAACACTGTCGGACATCTATTTCGAAACACCGTGCAGCGTCCCCGCGACACAGCGTGCAGTACATCGCACTGGCGCGGCACCGAAGTCGACCACGGTTAATTCGTTTCTCAGGCGTTATCGTGGCCGTTTGAGCGCGACAAATTTTCATCCCGATAAATCCGTCGCGGCGTGGCGCGTTACGCAACGCGACGAGGAATCCGCGTAGCCAACACGGGAAAAAGAGGATATAACGAAGCGAACGAACGAACGAGAGAGCGTGATCTCGCGCGGAGAACTCGGACAACTGGAAACCGCAATTTCGCGGAGCTCGTTTTGCTGTTCAAACGGTCCGTGAAGTCACCTCGCGTTCGTTCGACTGTGTGCACATCGTCTATCTCTCTCTTTCTTCCGTTCACGTTTCTCTTTCTCCCTTGTGGATAACAGAGGCAGATGGAAAATGTCACATTCCACGTACACAACACTGTTCAAACAGTTCCAGAACAAATTCTTCTCTTCGATTATCGCGGTCGGTATACAAAGCACTTTTACCGACCGGCTGCTGATAACAGATACCGTTTGGGTGTCGTTAACCCTTTGCACTCCAAATTTTTTTTCTCTTATTATATTGAAAATAGCATTAAGGGTGATATATATTGGATGATTGCAAAAGTTCGTGCCCGATTTTCAGAGGTGGCGAGAACTTTATCGACTTCGGCACAGATGTTTCTTTTAGCGTAATGTTAGATTCCTATCGGAAGATACACTCCATTCACTGTCATTCCATTTCAGTTTCAAATGAAATCTGCTTTTGCACACACCGATTGTGTTTTATTTTCAAATCGGGCATGAACTTTCGCAATCATCCAATACATATGCGTATCTATTGCTCGTCCAGGTGAAGAAATTTTCCAAAATATAATACTCATACCTGTGGAGTCCAAGTCCTAATACAAAGGAGTCCAAAGGGTTAATGCAGCGTCAAATAAAACAAAATCGAGATATTATATACTCTGAAAGATTGCCAATGGGCGATATCTTCTCGCACGTTCTATTAACATTGATCACATTCGCTAAATGACCTAACTAGGTCAGTGGCAAATTTAAGTAACAAGTTATTATTAAAAAAATATCTAAAAAGAAACTTCCATTTCCGTTTCGAGTCAACATCGAGGCGACAAAAGAAAATTCGCCAAACGAGCAGAAAGCCATCTTAGAAATTCATTTCGATCTAAGAAGATTGGAAAAACCACTGGCATAAGTGGCAATATTGCAAACTATAGGAATTAACGAATAATTTTTATTTTATTCAATTTATCGTGGAACATTTTAAATAGAGCGACACTGTAGGGTGACAGAAAGGCGAGAAAGTAGATAATTGCTCTACAGGGGAGAAAATAATAAGTTTAAGGAGATTAGGGAGATCCTCGAGCCCGAGGAGATTAGGGGAACTTTTGAAAAGATGTATCACACGATCTTTCACGCAGAGAATTCGTGTTTCATCGTTGTCGGGTGACATTGGATTAAAAATGAAGGCGGAACGTGGTTACTGTGATAGGATGAGGAAGATGAATGGAGAATTTATTGGTACATCTTTTAGTATAGGTTGAACGGGTTCGATGGCGTGAAATGCGCGTATTTAGGGAAATTGGTGGGTGACAGGGGTGTGATCTATCGAGGTGCGAATCCGGGCGTTGGTGACTTTTGATGAAAACCTGTTCGCGCAATTTTTTTTCCTGCCTCTTTCCCGCGTGTGGGAGTTTGACACGTGTAAAACGATAAAACGGCGGAAGACTGTGAAATATTGGCAAACATGCGAATCTGTTGATATTCGAGTTGAATATGTATTATTAAGTATTCGTATTACATGCAAAGAAGGGAAGAGATAAGCTGGGATTATTAAAAATTA